GGTCTAGAGGCCCAGTGAGGACGGGGCTCCTTGTGGGAACTGGGAAACCCTTCTGTGCCAGTTACCTTTCTTGTCACCATGACAAAATACTGGGCAGAAACACCTTAAGGGAGGGAGAACTGATTTTGGTTCACAGTTTTCAAGCTTCATGGCACAGTTCACGGTGAGAGGAGCAGGTAGCCAAGACTTGTCATGGGAGCTGAGAGAGCACGTCAGGAAGGAGTCAGGAACTGTGGCCCCCCAGGACCCACCCCTAGTGACCCACTCTGCCGATGAGCCTGCTAACCAGAGTTAGATTCTTGGGACCCCCGAGGCTTAACTGACACTTGACGTTCTCTGTCCTCCAACGCACACTGCGGCACATATGTGCTCAGGAACGAACACACACATGCACAGGAGTGCACGCACGCGCGCGCGCACGCGCGCGCACACACACACACACACACACACACACACACACAGAGAGAGAGAGAGAGAGAGAGAGAGAGAGAGAGAGAGAGAGAGAGAGCTAGTGAAACATGAGCCTGTGAGTACATTTCATGCTCAGCCCACAAAGCTATTCTTCCTTTAGTTTGGTCAATATCTGGTCTCCGTATGCTCGCAATGGAAAAACCCCACCCCGTAAAAGGCCTCCCAGGAAGACACCAACTCAGGTGTTAGTTACTAAGGGAAAAATTAACCAAAACCTCCATCAACCTTTCTCATTCTAAGCCAGGCATGGCAGTCCATGCCTGTAACCTCTATACTCAGGTTGTAGAAACAGGGGAACGAAAGTTCAAGGCCAGCCTTAGCTATATAACACGTTTGAGGTTACATGAGTCCTTATCTCAAACCTTATAAAAAAATGACAAGTCACACAGCTAGGAAACACATTGCTATGTCCCACTAGCTTTGTGAGGAGACAGCCTGTGACGAATGGTTATGGTAACAGTTGCTTTGGTTACTTCTCATCGACCTGAATCCATTTTTTTTTTTTTTTTCTGAAAGCACTGACTTTGCTTCACTTTCCAGAGGTCCAATAGTGACATCTCTGTCTCCATGTTGTGTCTTTCCCCTTCCCAGCCTAAACCTTTGCATCTATATGTGGATGTGCAGATCGTTGGAGGGATACTTTATCCAAAGTTGTGAGACACGGTGGACATGGCCTGCTGCATGTCAGGGCTAGCGTGTGACTTCTGCTCCACCCTTGTGCAATCCTGCAGCTTTTCCTTACCTGTCATCAGGCCCAGAGGAACCACAGGGCCAGGATGTTTGTACAGGACAAGGCACCGTCAGCGAAGAACAAAGCAGACCCTAGGATCAGCTGACCATTCTTCCAATTGACCTGCCCCTCACACAAGTAGGAAGACATCTTTTGACATTGTGCCTTGGTCAGCAGAAAATTACAAGAATCTATCCTCCCCAAAATAACTAAAAGTCTGCCTTTCTCCTTATTCAAAGCAGCTCCCCAGCCCCAGCTGACTGGTATGTTCTCAGCTTTTGACTAGATGCCATTCCAGTTCGTCTCTTGCTCAACTCACTCATGGCTAACCCTATTCTGCTGTCCCTCTCTCCCCCTGGTGGGACTGCTTGTTTTATTGATTGGTGCCCAGAACTGTTGAAGTAAAAAGGACATAACTTGGAGTCTGAGGAACTGGGTGGGGCAGCTGTAAGTTAGGGTTCCTGGGGAGGCAGAAAAGGTGTGAGCCCATGGGCTGTTGACTGCTGGGAAGGGACAGGGGCTGCCCCCTCCCTAGGGACAAAAGTCTGGAGCTGGTGCTGTCATTAAGCTGACTTTACTATCTCACTTTAGTTTCGAAACGAACACCTGCTGTTTCTTGGGCAGTCACATCTCTCTCTGACTGGGTGACTCAGAATTGGGTGTTGCCACTCTGAGGATTTTTGTTTTGTTGTTTTTTTAAGTCACACTTTGTTATTTAGGCGGGCCTCAAATTCTCTGTGTAGCAAATGACAATGAACTCCTGGTCCTCCTGCCTATTCCTCACAGATGCTGAGATTACAAACTTGTACCACCAGGGCCAGTTCATGTGGCCCAGAATCTGAACCCAGATCCTCATGAATGCTAGGCAAACACTCTGCTAATTGAACTATATCCCCAGTCCCTTACTCGGAATTTTTGAGACTTTGTTTTAATTTTTATCTGTAAGATTAATGAACAAAACGAAAGGGGTCCATAGTCTTTTTTTTTTTTTTTTTTTTTTTCTTAAGAGGGAGAAGGCACATGTGTACACAGGTATAAAAGGATCTCACTAAACCTAGAGCTAGGCTGGCAGCAAGCCCTAATGCTCCTTTCATATGTATTCTTCACATGTCAACTTTACAGGCAAGTGTGGCCATGCCTGGCTTGTGTGTGTGTGTGTGTGTGTGTGTGTGTGTGTGTGTGTGTATGAGTCCGGGGTGGGGGTCAGGCATATGTGTGCCACTGTGGCACTCATGTTGAGATCAGAGGTCAACCTTTGTAGGTTGGTTCTTGCCTCTCCTTGTTTGAGGTCTCTTCCTATTGGGTAAGCCAGACTTGCAGACTATTGCTTCTGAAGATGCCTCCCCCCCTCCGTCTCCATCTCTCATCTCTCAGGAGGGGCACACTGTGATCATAGACACTTGTGAGACCCCCAACTAATGTCCTCATGCTTGCACAGCAAACACTCCTACCCACTGAGAGAAGCTTGTTTCTCACACACCCTTCTACCAGGATGCTATGTCTTCACAGGCTCAGCACAACGGAGCCAACTTCCTGAAGCTTGAATTGAGAACTTGATGGGTCCTTTGTCACCTTCACAAGAGGCAGGAAGTCAGATTAGTTCAGCACAGCTCAGTATCTGGTGTTGGCTCAAACTGTGAGAGTCTAACCTTAAGAGTTTATTTTAGGCTTTTTGTTTTGTTTTGTTTTTTTGAAACAGGGTTTCTTATGCAGCCCTGGCTGTCTTAGAACTCACTCTATAGACTTGGCTTGGCCTCGAACTCACAGAGATCCACCTGCTTCTGCTTCCCAAGTGCTGGGATTAAAGGTGTGCACCACCTCGTTTATTTTAGGCATATTTAAGCACAGAAAAATCTGGTGAAAACCTTTCTGGTGAAAATTCAATCCCATATGGATGACAAAGCATATATAAATCTCCCTGAGGAACAAAGTGAGCTAAATACAGATCACCCATGGCTCCTGTGAGGGCTAAAGTTATGTCTTAGGTTTAAATTATCGTGCTTAAGACCACCTATAAAACAAAATGCCTCTGCTCTGTAAGCCCCACTTGCCCAAGGACAGATAACTTCCTGTAAAGTTGGGGGATGTTCATGTAGGATAACAAGCCACGTGTCATTTCTATGAACCAGGTTTGTTGTTGCTTGATTACTTATAGATGGGAGGTACATAGGTAGGAAATACATCAAGATGTATGCTTGTCCCCGATTGGACCAGGCAGGGAGCATAGCCCTGTGAGTTTTACTTTTACAAGCACCTCTATAATGTAATTCATGGACATTTTCTGGAAGTCCTAGGTATAGGCCTGGCCAGTATTAAATAAAGCTGCCTCCAAGAACTCTTTCCCTATTTGAGTTGTTTGCTCCCGCATTTGTCATCATGATGACATATGGCTAACACGGGAGGTGATGAGAGCAGTTTCCCCGGTGAAGGAGTCATTAGATTGTAACATGTTAACGGGCCTCGTTCACCTGATAGGCAGAATTCTTCCACAAGGAGACAACTTTATTATTTGACTAGCCTCAACATAATGAGGCTCTTTTTGGCATATCATTAGGGATTCACTGTTTCATATTTTATTTGATATATTTGATCACTTGACAGCATTGCCCCTACTGAGGCTCAAAGTGAGGTTCCTACCTTCAGGCTTTGAGGAGGAATCATTCATGTTACAGATGAGTGCCTAAGGCTCAGAGGTGATATGCTTCAAATCCAGGTGTATCTAGCAGGGGCCACAAGGTCACAGAAACCCTAAGCTATGTGAACAATGAGAATTTTATGCAAAGAAAATCAGCTTGGTCTAAAGTCTAAGAAGTTAACTACAGCTAAGAGAATAGGGAGAGCTGGCCTGGAACTGTTGACATATAGAGATGCATGAGGGGAAGATATGAGCTTGAGATAGCAGGCTGCCTGTGCCTGTATCTGAGGTAAGGCAGTGCCACGTTTGCCCTGGGCATTCAGGAAAACTGCCAGTGGGGGGCCAGGGCACTCCATGGCCTCCAGGAGTCAGAGGCTAGCGATATATGAGGGCCGCTAGAGCAAAGACACCTCAGAATTAGATTCAGGACCCTGGTACTAGTCAAATCCCACTGAGGGTTCGTTGGGATCCTGGCTTGAGGCCTTGTGAGGCACTAAGGCCATGACAGCATCCTCAGCAAGGCTGGAGACTGGCCTGAGTGTCACTTCTGTCCCTAGAATCAAATTTCCCTAGTAGGAGATTTGGAGTATCTATACCAACACAGGACATTACTTCCTGGAGTATTTCTGAGTTGATACTTCCTGGACTGGAGGGTAAACCCTGGCTACATTTGTTTCCATAGTGACCAACCAGGCCTCCTGTGGGTTCCTTCTTCTTAAACACGGTTGCCCAAGGGAGGGCTATGAGTCATAGCGGTGAGATGGGAGTCTGAATTTAGGTGTTCCTGGCTCATCTCTATGAGTTTGGTGAGGGACAGAGAGGGCCAGGATCTGCTGGCAGCCATCTGCAGAGCCCTGGGTCTCTTAGACAAAGTGGGTAAAGCAATGGGGGTTCCCCCACCTTCCTGAAGGATAGGTAACTTTCCTATGTTAACCTCACAGGTGGACTGACACACAGCTCCCATTGCCTCTGGCTCCCGACGGACCATGAGTTCCTTGGCCTTCACCAAACCACATCACTGGAGCTGCAGGAGAGAAGCCTGAATGGGTAGGTCCTGTCAGATAATTGGGTTCCAGTTTGATTACCTCTAAAGTCTGAAATGCAACCCACCCTTAGAGTGAGCCAAGGACTCTGACCCACTGTGCTGTGGATCAAAGAGGAGCCATGAAGTTCTGGTCAAGGTACATCTTTCTGCTTCTTCTGCAGTCTCTCCCAGGTAAGCAGTGTTATTCTTCAGTCATCCCCCAATTCTTTGCCCCATGATGGCTTCAACACCCTTCCTCCATCATCCTGCTTCCTTACGAATCTCAGCTGCTCTCCCTAGACAACTGGAAGAGGGCTGAGAGTAGGAGGCCAGAACCCCATGTGTCCATTGACCCTATGAGGGATGCAGGAGGAGACAGAATCAAAAAGGGGATTGGGTGGCTATTCCTGAGTGCAGCAATGTCCCTGAGCCATGTCTTATGGGGATGGCAACTTTGTGGATGAAATGTTGACCCCAGACCCCTTCTCTTGTTTTCTTTTTTTTTTCTATTAGATTTTTTTTTAAATTCTATTAGAATTTCATGTGTAGACAATTTATTTTGATCATATCCATCTCCTACATGACCCTCCCCAACGTGTAACTTCATCATCACCATCATCTCTTCCTTCTCCTCCTTTTCTTTTGCTGTAATTCTCTGGGTCCAGATACTGCTGTCCACGTGTGCATGGGTGTGGGGCCATCCACCGGAGCACAGGAAACTTACCAGTGGTCACACCCCCAAAGAAAATTACTCTCTCTCACCTATCATCAGCCATTAGCTCCTCAGCAAGGGTAGGCCTTGGGAGCCACACCCCATGCACACTGGAGTGTTGACTGCCTGATCTTGGTTAGGTCTTGTGTAGGTTACTACAGCTCCTGGGAGTAGCTATATGAAGGCAACAGCCATGCCATGTCCAGAAGATAGTATGCCCCAGATCTCTTCCCCATCATGCTGTGTGTGTCCTTCCTGCCTTCTCTTCTGTGACGTCCTGGAACTTGGGAGGATGTCGATGCCGATACAGAAGTCCCATTAGGCTTGAGCACTCTGTTGCTTATCCTCAGTATTTTGGCCATTTATGAGTGTCTGCATTAACCACAGCTCATTGAGAAACTTTCTCTTGTTTTTTAGGGGGCCGCGGGGATGTGTTGCCTTCAGGTAATGACCGACCCGGAGTGTCCCAGGGAAGGGTCAGGGCAGGGGATGGAAGAAGATGTTGGAGGTGGTGGGTCCCAGGCAGGATTGGCTTTCTGAAAAGGTCCTTCTGCAGTGTGTGGTCGTTCTGGAAATGCTGGGAAGATCGTGGGTGGCCAAGATGCTCAAGAAGGGGAGTGGCCTTGGCAGGTCAGCCTGTGGATAGCTGCAGAGGGCCACATCTGTGGGGGCTCTCTCATCCACCCAGGGTGGGTGCTCACGGCTGCCCACTGCTTCAGCAGGTAAGTGAAGTAGGGGTGCAGAGTGGCTGCCATTCTCCTTACCTCGTCCTTTCGGCAGATGCCTCAATGGGCTGGCTTGTCTCTTCCTAGGTCTCAGAATCCTAGCTTCTACCAAGTGAAGGTTGGAGGACTGACACTCTCCCTTTTGGAAGAAGACATAACCTTAGTGTGTGTGAGGAACATCTTTTTGTACCCCAGCTACCTCTGGGGAGACACAATGTCTGGTGGAGACATTGCCTTGGTACAGCTGGACACTCTTCTGAAACCCTCTCAGTTCACCCCCGTCTGCCTCCCAGAAGCTCAAGCTCCTCTCACCCCTGGGACTCTCTGCTGGGTGACAGGCTGGGGGTCCACCCAAAAAGAAGGTGAGGAAATACGTTCATACTCAGTCCCTACTCCTGCCCATGGGAAGACATGGCTAGGGAAGTACTGCCAAATTGTGGGGTTTGCCTTGACCAAGGTACTTACTCATGACAGATTTGGGGAACCCCATCCAGTGCCTAGGATTCTGCCTACTGCAGAAATGGGTAAGCTGAGACCCAGCTGCCATGAGATTTTGGAAGCTGGCACAGCTCACGGGGCGGACTGGACTTGAACTCTGTTCTTGACTCTGTTTCCTGGCTTTAGAACATGGGAGGGACAGAGAACTGTGTTGTCTGTCAGGGTGTACTCAATCCAGGCCTCTCTTTGGTCCAGACCTATCGAGTGTCCTCCAGGAGTTAGCTGTGCCCCTCTTGGACTCAGAGGATTGTGAGAAGATGCACCATATCTGGAAGACCAGTCTGCCAGGGAAGCGATTCATCCAGGCAGATATGCTCTGCGCTGGCTTTGCAGAGGGCCAGAAGGACTCCTGCCAGGTGACAGCAGCCCTCTGGTCCTCCCTGGCATCCCATGACCCACAACCAGGGCCTTTTAGGAAGACCAGGACAGTCACCAAGTTTCTGTGGCCTTGGCAGAGGGTGTCTTTAAAATGTTTCTCTTGACTGGGCTCTCCTCCTTCTCCCTCAGGGTGACTCTGGGGGACCACTGGTCTGTGTCATCAACAGTTCCTGGATCCAGGTCGGGGTCACCAGCTGGGGATTTGGCTGTGCTCAGCCATACAGGCCCGGTGTCTACACTAGGGTGCCAGCTTATGTAGACTGGATTCAGAGAACCTTGGCAGAGAACCACACTGACACCTGCAGGTCCCACTCTGGGGCACACCTATTATTGCTTCTAGTGTTGCTGGCCTTAGCCCTGCCAAGGGCCCTGTGAAGTACGAGCTCTATAGTACTGGATCCTCTGCTGGTGGGACAGGAGACTTGGAAGCTGAGAGAAGACACTGAGAAATGGTGGGCTTGCAGATGGCACCTGGGAGGTGTTGGACTGAAGTGACTTGAGGAGTTTTAAAGACATAGCAGCTACTCACATGTCACTCACCACAGGTCTGGCCCTCATTCAGTTCTACCTGTGTTAACTCTTTCAGTCACACAGCAGTGCTGCAGCAGGGAAGTAAGGAAGCTCAGAGAGGCTGTGAACTTTCTACAGTCACACAGCTAGCCGACTGTAGAACCTCTGTCAGACAAGTGTGGATCAGAACCTGTGCTCCTGCCCCTAGGAAGTCTCACCATGTACCACATACCGGCCTCAGCCACCTAAATGAATGCATCAGAGGCATGCACCACCACAACTTGGCTCTTATTCTTTGTTTGTTCATAATGCAGCCTTGTTCTGAAAAAAAAAAATAGAAATCCTTTGACATGGAGCTGGAAAGGTGGCCTAGCAGTTAAGAGACTTCCAGAGGACCAGAGTTCGATTCCCAGCATCCACATCATACAGCTTACAACAGCAGGAGGTCCTGCTTCTGCCCTCTGAGGACATACACATAGAATAAATCATTGTTAAAAAGACTTGTTTATTTTATGTGAATGGGCGTTTTGTTTGCATGTGTAGTACCCATTCACATCCCTCCCCCGCTTTTTGTTTTGTCTTTGGAGAGTTTCTCTAAGTAGTCCTTGGCTGTCCTGGAATTCACTCTGTAGACCAGGCTAGCCTGGAACTCAGAGATCTGCTTGCCTCTGCCTCCTCTGCTTGTATTAAAGACATGTGCCACCACCACCAGATCTCTTGAAATTAGGATCACAGATTAGAGTTACAGACAGTTGTGAGCTGCCATGTGGGTGCTGGGAATCGAACCTGGGTCCTTTGGAGGAACAGCTGGTGCTCTTAGCCACAGAGCCCCCAAAATAAGATAAATATTTTAAGAAATCCTTTGACATATTAGCTTTACAGCTGCTGGATCCAATCACAAGATGCAGGAGTGTGCATCAGACTACACTGACTTTCCCTCATCTTTCTCTAGCAATTCATTTGCATTGCATTTTCTAAAAGCATCTGGCCATGTACAACGTACATCAAATTAGTAAGTTGTCATGTACTGTTTGAGCTCTCTGAGAAGCTGGATCTGGGAACAGGGTTGCCCCCAACCCCACTTCAGACCCAAGCATGTTCAAATGTCCTTCAAGACCCCTTGTCTAGGAATGGGTTGGCCCCGGGAAAGGTAAACAGCAAACAGTGTCAGAGTGAAAATGTGTGCACAGCTAGAAACTGGAGCATTTCCAGCACGTTTCCTTGCTTATCCTTTGATATAAAAGTGGTTGCCGTGGGAGAGAGCAGTGGGAAGTTGAGCCAAGGAGGGAGAGCACAATTGGGAATCCAGAGGATGCTGTGAAGACCTGCTTTATGATGCCATCTCTATCAGTTGCTGTTTGTTCTTTTACTTGGAGGCCTCACCAGAGGGAATACTCTACTCTGCTAGGACTCACCCTATTGGGAACTCTAGCCTCTCAATAGGGCTCCTCTAGTCAATAGACGGGATGTGTTGAGCACTTAATTCAATGATGTTTTGCTTTCACTTGCTATTTACTCATTAACTTTAGCTTGCTATATGCTTAATAACCTAACTCACTTACAACTAAAAGCATGGCTGCCTAGTAAAAATAGCCCTTCACAGGCTGGAGAGATGGCTCAGAGGTTTAGAGGACTGGCTGATCTTCCAGAGGGCCAAGGTTCGATCCCTAGCAACCGCATTGTAGTTCATTAGGGTCTGTAATTATGGTTTCAGAGGATCTGACACCCTCTTCTGGCCTCCATGGGCACTGCATGTGTGTAGTATATATACATGCAGGCAGAACACCAATATTCATAAAATAAAAATAAAGTCTTTAAAAATTAAAAAAAAGTCCTTGGCCCCAGAAGACTTTTGAAGTCCAGGCCTGGGGAATTTGCCTGCGTCTCTCCTGTGTCTTCACAGCTAGAATCACTGCTGTCCTGTCAACTCTCCTGTGTGGTTCTAGCAAAACTCCCATGTGAATATATATATTCATTACAACTCGAGAGCCAGGAACCCTTTGGTGCTTTTGGTGTCAGCCTCAGCATGCAGTTGCCGTGGGCACTGACTGGCCAATTAGAGTCTTCATTCTGCCAACTCTGGCCTGTGAAACACCTATCACAAGTTCCTAACCTACAGGCGGCTGTAGGAGCTGTCCACAACAGCTATGGGTGCCATCACCAACTTGGTGGTATGTGCCCTCTACCTAGGTTTTAGCAGATGCACAAAAGGACACCAGATTTTCAGAGAAAGAGACATGTAAAAATTGCCCTCTTTCCTTGCAAGTTTGAGAAACTTCCACTGCCTGTGTGAGATGAATTGGTTGGGCTGCAAGGGCCATGGAGGGGATGGGATCCTCTTTGAGAGAAGCATCCATTTTCCCCAGGGCCAACCCTCTATTTCCTGAAACATTGCTCACCCCAGGTAGCTGACTGGAATTCTCCACAGAAAGGACAGTGGTGCCAGTCTAGGGCCAAAGCCATGAAGGGTGGGGGAGGGGGATGGGGGTAGGGGGTAAAGGACAGGGAATGGCTTTGTTGGTAGTGTTTGCTGAACAAGCATGCTGACCCGAGCTTGAATCCCATATGAAAGCCTCTGGGGCTTGTTGTTCCAGCCAGCCTAGCCTAAGAGATGAGCTCCAGGCCTGTGAAAGAGCCTGTCTCAAAAAATATGGTGATCAGGTGAACAGGAAATCTGCCAGCCCAGGACCCTTTGGCCTTTCAGAGGACAGGCACCTTTGACAGCCTCTTAGTTATGCCTGGGAAGAGATGTCCATCATTCTGCCTCCCCTAGGTCTGGGTGCCCTGGAATCCCTTGCTTTGTTCCCATGGAGCCCCCTCCCCCCCCAGAACTCTTCTCTGGGTTCCTCCTTCCTGCACTCTGCTCTATCCCATTTGTCCTTCTAGAACTCAAGTCTGGTAAGGGATTTGGCCTTTCAGTGGCTACTTTGTCCCCTCGTTTTCTCTTGATGTCAAGAGTCAAGTGTCTTGTTAATAAATACCCTATCTCCTTATACCTCATGATAACCGCCTTCCAGAACTCTGCAAGACAACTGTAGAGAACATAAGAAAAGGCCTCAATTTTGCCTTGCAGATTTTTTAAAAACATATCTTCAAAGCAGGATCTCAGCTAGCTTGTACTGGACCCGGCTTACTATGTAGCTGATGATGGCTTTGAAGTCTAGGTCACCCCACTTTCACCTCTAGGATTACAGGGGTGTGCCACTAAGCCCAGTTTCAAGTTTGCATTCCTGCTTAACCCATGGCATCGGATAAACCTACCCTGCATTAGTCAACCCTTAGGAGGTCTCCAAACAAGAGCCTTCCTTAGACAGCAGTCCTTATATCTTCTGATGGACACACAGCCTGGTTCTAAGATCCCCTCCTACCCAGGCTAAGTGTGGCTCCATGTGCATGAGTTCTGTAGAGCAACATTCATTTCCATGCCACCCCACCCCCCATGCCTCCACCCTCGCAAGCACTTCTCATCCTCCCCGTCTCTGCTCCCCCACAACAGGTTACAGGAAAAAGCAGTAAGCAACCCAGGAAAACCCAGTAGTGCTGAATGAATGCAAATGTGCGTTCCCTTTGTATTCTGTTAGTCTGGCTTCCCTCCCAGGATGATACTGCCAGGGGATCTTGAAAATGGTCATTTCTGCTTATGGTAGCAGGCCAGGAGGTGCTGGGTTGGGATGGGAGTCAAGGATTTACTATCTGGGGACAGTTGGGAGCCCAGGGGGAAGTTGGGCTATGTGTGGTACCACACCCAGCTGTTGTGGCTCTCAGATGACTGTATTCATCCTTGTCTATACAAGGACTCCCTCAGGCACCCTGCTAACTGCACTGTCCATATAATCTAGGTGACCTTCCTCAGACAGATCTAGTGACGGTTCCTTCCTGTAACAGAACAGCCTTGTTCCTTGTGCAAGAGGAGGCAGTTCATGGCCAAACAAACAATACACGGACACACCACCCTCCAGGGTCCAACCAGAACAAGGATAAGGAAAAGGTTACAATTTATTCAAATGTTCCGGAAGACCCACAAGGTGATTTCTGTCCAAAGGTCAAATTGGGGAATCATTGACTGCGATGAGGAACTGGACCAGGAGCCAAGTGTGGAACAATGAGGCCTTTCCCAGAAGTAGCTCAGGGCTGAGGCTAGCGTTCCTTCTATATGAACTGGGAGTGAGGTGGTAAGAAGTGATTATCAGGGACACATGGGCTGTGCCAGGACACCATGTGTGGATGGCTCCAGGTTTCTAAGAAAGCCATTCCAGGCTGTAGATGCCGACTGGCACAGGGGGTATAGGACATTCCCCTCATGATTTTGGGCTGGGCTGTACCTGCACAGGAGATGATAGAAGGGTTTCACTATCATCCCTTTCCAGAAAAATTACTTCCTCTCTCTTGGCCTTTACATTCTCATCAGTAAAAGCTGGAATTAACCTCCCAACCGGGTTCTATGATGATTAAATGAGCAACAGTTGTGAAAGTATGTAGCATCATGTGTGCTCCAAAACTGGTACATGCTAATCTGTCCTTCCATTCATCTGTCCTTCCACTGGCATGTACATCCATCCATTTATTCATCCATCCATCCACTCATCCAAATATCAGTTGCTCACCTATTAACCTGTAGGCCAATGCATCCATCTGTTTATCAGTCTATCCATTCATTCACCATCTGTCCATCTACCTACGTACACATCCACTTAACCACCCATTCATTGATGCCCTCATTCACAAAAGAAAGAAAAGAAGGAAGAAAGAAAGAAAGAAAAGAAAATTCGGCAATTGGATACTTTGTTGCACAGGTTCCCAGATCCCACAGCAGGAACCAGCCTCTCTAAGCAGCAGTTCTGTTACCACAGTTTTCCTCACCATTG